TTGCCCAGGGCTGGGTTCAGGTAGCTGCTGGCTGGGCAAGTAACCTTGGCAGCCTGTCTCCCCTACACGGTTGAGCCGATTGCAGAAGAGCAAGAATGAGCCTTAATACTTACATTGATCTAAAACATTCTAGAGGCTATTCAAAAATAATGCTAGAAAACACTATGGAATCCTTCAATAGGTGCAAGTTCAAAGTCCAAGCAAGAGCCAGGAATTTTGCTGGAACATACACGACCCAACAAAGTAACTCTAACTCATTGAGTATTGTCAGATCCCAAGTATACCACACTGAGACACAGAAGGCCTGGTTCTAGCTCTGATGGTGGCTTCCAGTGAATCACTTGATCTCTCTGGACTTCAATTTTGGTATCTACAAAACATGTGGATTAAACTAGACCAGGGTTTCCCCATTTGTTTCAAGCCATAGAACTCTTTACACAAACAAAATATTACCTGAACCCAACAAACAAAGCAAAAGCTAACTTGGGACCAGAAGTTGGGGTAATGGCTATGTTTGCTGGACTCCCATGTAGTTGACTGTGGTTCCAGTCCCGGACCCGGTGGCTTAAACTCATGTCAGGCATGTGTGTGTGTGTGTACCCAAGATCCTGAGAGGAGATTGGAGGAGAAGGGATTGCAGCATGGCCATCCCCCCTGGGGGATTATTTCTCGCTTTCTGTCTCTCTCTGTCTTTCTGGTGAGTGCACACACCCTATAGCAATAACCTCTCCAAAAAAAAGCTAACTCTCTCAGGTTGTTCTGCAGTGGGAAGTAGGTCCCATAAGCCCTCACTATCTGTCCTCACGCCTTCCCCCAGCCATCCTGAGGCCTGTGCAGGAGCCCTACTCAGAGCCAGGGAGCACTAAGAACCACAGGAGGAAAATTCCTACCCCAAGTTAGTGCTAAAGATCCCTGTGCCCGTCACCACCCAGATCTGCCTGGCCCCTTCCACATAGTAGGCACTTCATAAATATTTGTGAGGAAACGAATGAAATATTATTCCGCCTTTTCGGAAATGTGGATATGTAGTTTTCATTTCCTCTGCTGATTGACCTAGGTAGTTAAAGTGCTGAGATGGATCCTGGGGGAAACGAAATGCTACATTTATGGAAAAGCTGCTTTCTGATACTGAAGTGGCTTCCAAGTTCACTGTGGCCATAAGTTAAGGGTCTGTCAGCACTTCCATTATGAAAACCGCTTTGTGGTTTCATAACTTAGCCATAAAAGTTTGCTGCAGGCTATACTTGGGCATACAAATTGAAAAGCTTGTTTTAAGCCAAAATATGGGAATTAGAAAACAAAAAAATTTATTGGTTTCAGACATAGTTTTGTACCCATCTTAGCCAAACAAGATTTATTATGTGGGCAATTAGAGTGGACTAAGCCACTTGGTTCTTGAAAAATAAAAATGGGGGGAAATGGCCAAATTGTTTATATTTCAAACAAGGTCCCTGAACACAATCGATCATTTTTTAGGATTATATTTTCATCATGTATTTTGTACCACAAATTATGAGACCCAGAGTCTATTTACATATTCTCGCTCTCCTTTTTTTTTCTAACATTTTCTTATTAATTATATCAGAGTGGTAAAATCTACCTTTTTTGTTTTTTTACTAGAAGGCAAGTAATAAGAACAATGTCAAACAAAGGGCTGAATGATGCTTTACAAAGTTTTTTTGAGAACAGGGAGTGACTCGTTGTAATGAACAAGAAGACAATATCAGCAATGAATAAAAGTAAGTAAAGCGGGGCAATGAGGACTTATTTATTATAGGTTAGAACTGCAGAGACATGAGACATGACCTGGTCAAACTGATGACTATACCTGCCTTAAGGCCCCCACCTGCTAGGTAGAAGGACTAGAATCAGGTATTCTACATCCTGGCTTGATGAAGGACTCGTCACTGCTTCCGTCCCAGATGTAACCGTTCAAAGTTCCAGGATTCGACATTTTTCTAGACTACTAATGTCCAGTTCGGCACACATGAATGCCCCTGCTTACACAAGAATCCGTTCTCTTGCACTAGGATAACAAGCATTTTGTGACTTTGATGATCTAAATCACAAGTCACATGTCATTAGCATCTTGTTGTAAACTTGCTTTGTGTCCTTCTTAGGCCGACTACAGAGGTGAGGCCCTAGAAACGGTGAGTCAGTTACCAAAGACAGGTTACTGCGACACAGGCCTTAATCCCACTAGAGAGAGAAACAGGCAGGAGACAATGGAGTAGCTTAACAATGAACAAGTTAGTCTTCTAGCTCAGAAACACTACCGAATGAGCAAGGTTACAGTTATCCCGCATCTGCTGATGACTAAAGCAGAAAGTTTGCTCAACAAGACTCTGCTGCAGTGCTGGGTAACAGATGGATTTCGCTCAAGAGTTGACTGTCCTTCTTCCCTGTTACTAAAGCACCTTGCATGACCCTCGCTCTGCGGCAAATGTCTGCCTGCATCAGTCTTTCTCCTTCTAGACTGCACTCTGGGGCTGGAACCAAGTCTTATTCCTCCCTGGGTCCCAACTATCTAGCCAGGGAAGGTACTCAACAGTCCTTTACTGAACGAAGGAATGGATGATCAGACGAACAGATACACGCACTCACTGAGTGGGCCCGTCCCTCTCTGAGGAAGCTTGCGCAGGCTTCTTGACTATCCTCTCTACCCCGCACAATGTCTCCGCTCCCACACAAACCGGTCAGACCCCTAGGCAGCCACCATGTAGCTCTACAGAATTATTTTTGATAGAAAGAATGCAGTCCTGTTAATAACAGCCCAGTAAAGTGTTTTCGTTAAGTCAAAGAGGAATTTGAGTGAGAAAAACAGGAAATTCCTAAATACCTGGGTAGAAGGTCACAGCCCACTCCGATCTCTCTGGTTTCCACTTCAGTCTTGGGCTGGGTTTCTATTAAATAGTCCAACCTGCTTTGTAGTTCATTATTCTAGAAACAGATATAAAACATGCTTTTAGTAACATGTTTTCCCCCAAATACACTTGATACAATGATATTATCTGACCCCTCTCCCTGCCAGGACATGGCTATCAATCATGATTAATTTATTGAACATCTCTTACACAATTGTGTTGACCGATCACTTACAGTTTTCTGTGCATACATATGCATATCCACCCAATTTTACAAAAATGAAAACAAGCAAAATATCTTAATTTAGACTATAGCCTGCTTTACTTAAGCTAACAGTTTGTTACATATCTTCCCATGTTTATTAGTTTTCTTTTTATGCTAACAAACTACTTTAATTGGTTCATAGTATTCTGTTGTAGGGACGTACATTATTTAACTAGTCTCATATTGATGGGCATTTAGATATTTATTGCTTTCTTCGCCATTATAAATAAGGCACAGCTCAACTTTTAATGCTGCCTCATTAAACTATAAACTGTTTAAGTCTATTAATTTAATTTAGTGGGAAATACCTCTATAACGTAATAATTAGTATTTCATAGGTGTGGAAAATTCAGAATCTCAAACATATAAAGCAGAACAAGCTCCCTGGGATTAAAATTAGCATGCTAAAAAGGTCTCCCCCCGCCCCCCGCCCCAGGTCAGAGCCAAACATTACATAAGTTGATGATTATATGCTCAGGAGTTGGAAATCTGTCCCACAGGGAAAATGAAGGGCAAAGGAGCAAGAGAGGTGAGGATATCAAAATGAAAATACATGAAATGGGGTGGTGCCTGACACTAAAAGGGCAAAAACACAGAAATATTTGGAAAGAGGTCAACAGCAGTTATCTCTGTGTGTTGACATTTTGGATGACTTTTTTAAAAAGTTCTTCTACACATTTTCTGTTATGTTAGACTGAATTTTTATGAGGCAACGACCATGTCTATCTTCCTGGTTGTATTCTCAAAGCATGGCAGGTAGGAGACCTACATATTTGTTAACTAACTAATTAAAATGTATAAGTAAATGCTTTTACAATGAGCATAATTAGAGAAAGATGAAAGGATTTGTCTTTTGTTCTTTGTAAGTTGAAGCTGAGGCAGAGGCACTATTCTAAGAGACTAGATAACACCTGAAAGTTGACAAGTTCCGTGGAGGGCCAGTCTGTAGTGTATTGGTTAAGTGCTATCCACTGGGAGCTAGATCTCACATAACAGACCACAGTTCAAACTCTAGCCCCAGCAGTTGAAAAAATAAATAAATAAACAGGCTGGGCACATGTGGATACTTGCTCAACATCTCAACACAGTGGAGAAATGGAGGAGAAAAGATTGTGGCATGACCACACCCCATTAGGGGATTCTCTTGTTCTCTCTCTCTCTCTTTTTCTCTCTCTTGTGTGTGCACATACAGGCACACATACCCTCTGGCAATAAAAGTTATTATTTTTTTAATTCTATGGAAACAGAAGCCCATTTGTTTTGAATGAAAGAAAGTGGGTTATAGCTCAGTAGCTTCTGCCCTGAGTGGGTGCTACCCCTCACAGCAGTAGTTCTTCTGTAACTCCTAGTTTATGGATCTCTTCTGATAAACAGGAAGCAGTGTGAAGAAAGAGAATGCATTCCAGATTCCCCAGCAGCTAGGACAGATCTACAGATCCCAACCGCTCATTGGATCCTCGATATGGACAAATGCTGGCTCACTGCCAGGGGACACCAATATTTCCCAGCAATATTTGGATTCTCCTATTCACGAGTAAAGAAAAAGGCAGAGAAAGTCCATAACTTTATCTCTTTTCAATGCGAAGATTTTAATCATGAGGATTTCAAAGAATTCTGGGTCTGGAGCTATAGTTAGGGAGTTTTCAAATATGCCCCAATTGATACACAATAGAAAGTAAACAAGTAGCCCTAAAATCTTTGCTCTGTTTCATGGAACTCTATATGTGCACATCAATCACCCATAAAAATCCAGAAGTAAAATGTTTAATATCAATGAAAATATAATGCAATCAGTAAAACAAAAAATAATATTGCATATGTACTATATTTCAGGCAGCACATGAAATTAGGTGAGAGGAGGTAGATAGCAGTTTAAAAAACATGGCATGATTTGCAACCTGCAAGCAGTTCAGTCTTGCAGGGCTACACACAAGTGAGCAGAAAAGAGCAAAACAACGTGGTAAGTACCATTCCAGAAGGACCTGAAGAAAAAGAGAGAACTGAGAAGAGACGTCTAACTCAAAATGGAGCAAGGAAATGGAATTCCTGGAGTGAAAGAGAATAAGAAAATGGAAAGGTGATGAATTTTCCAACATCGTGAAAACATACAGGGTTGAAAAAAGGCACCTCACTGCCCTGTTCAGGTGGGTAGGAGTTAGTTATGAAGGGCCATGTGGGCCATTGCAGGGAGTTAAAACCCAGTCCAATAAGTGCAAAGTCAGCACCAGACTTACTCTAATCAATTGGTTCTAAGTGAAAAGCTGGATAAGGGGAAGGTAAGACTAAAGATAAGGAAGAGCAGTCTGGAAGACCATTGCAATTATCCAGCTGGAAGAGCGAGAGCTGCGGTCCCAGTAGAGGAGCACGTGCTCAAGACCCAGATCCTGCTGCAGATGACAGCGATGCACTCTTGAGTAAGAGATGAAAACACCCGACTCCATCTCTAGAGATTTGAGCAAAGACAGGCAAGTTTTGGAGGGGAGGTTAAACTTGGAGCAAGGAATGTTTGGCAAAGATTCTCTGTATTCTCTGGGTCTTCTCTGTTTTATCTATTATTCCACGTGCGGTTTTTCCCTGAGGGCAGCACATTCACGGTGGTGGCAGCACAGATATGGGACAACTTCGATGCAAAGGCCTCCTTTCTGGTTGAAGATACCAGAAGAAGGAGCCCAGGACTAACTTGGGGAGCGCTCAATTAGTAAGGGGGAGCTAAGAAAAGGAGAGTCAAAGTAGGGAGAAACCCCAAATTCTATATATGGACTCAACCTGTCTCTGAGAGACTTCTGCACAATGTATTTGAGGAGCAAACTAAAAGAAGTTTGCAGCTAAGGTGTAAAGAACGGAACCGAGAACTGAGTGGTCATCTATCATAGGCATGGGATGGGACAGGTAGGTCTAACCAAATTCATTGCCTTTGTAAACAGCAAACTTAATACTCTTCAAAATAATAAAAAATAGAATCTAAAGCCTGCATAATAGCATATTCACTATGCTCAGTTTATCATCCAAAATTACTTGGCATACGAAAAGTCAGGAAAAGATGACCCATTCCCAAAGGAAAGAAAATCAATCTGATGTGATCCAGGTGTTGACATCTTCAGATCAGAACTTTGTAAAAAATTACTACTTATTTAATTCTACTTTATTATTATTATTATTATTATCATTATTTATATGGTGAGAGAGAAAGAGAGAAAGGGAAGGTGAGAAAGCAAGCTGCCTGGTCTGGGACACTTGAATCACATTTGGCCATGTGGGAATCCAGGGCCTTTAACCATCATGCCACCTGTCAGCCCCCAGATAAAAACATTAATGCAGCTATTAAAACTATGTTCAATGAGGCAAAGACAAATATGTTTACAATTAATAAAGCAGCTTAAAAAAAAAAAAACCCTGAACTGTAAGAAAGAACAAAACAGAAATCTGAGAACAGAAAAGTATCACATCTGAAATTTAAAAAAAAAAAATTTGCTAGATTGACTTAGAAAAGAATGATGATGATAAAAGAAGGAGTCAGTAAGCTTGAAGATATATTAAGACTGGGGCCAGCAGGTTAAAGCATTGGACACTCCTACATTGGCAACCATGGTTGGAGTTCCAGACCCAGTGGCTTGCTTTCTCATGTTCTCTCTCTCTCTCTCTCTGGTCAAGTTAAAATAAATAATGAATAAATACAATTAAGTGTGTGTGTGTGTGTGTGTGTCTGGTCAAATTAAAATAAATGAATGAATAAAGAAAATTAAATAAGCAATTTTTAAAAAACTTCATTAATACTAATAAACCAACAAAAATAGGATAAAGAAGAGACTAAAAACAATAAATGGAGGGGCAGACAGTGGTACAGTAATGGCATAGCTTAATCCACTCAGGAAGTTCCTGGTGTGTGACCCAGAACCCTGTGCACATGGGGTGTGTTCATGCATACCCATGATCTGGGCTGTCTGAGGCTACGGGTGGTAGGTTGTGACAAGAGGACCATGTTGGGGGTACCTGTCTCTCTGTTTCTTTTTCTTTCTTTGTGTGTATCCCTCTCTCATGGAAGAAATAAACTTTTTTAAAGAAAGCAAAAAATGAATGAAATTGCATGAAAATTTGGGACAATTTTTTTAAGAGAGATTTTTGCTACAGAGTGTGTGCGCTTGCCAGAGAGATAGACAGAAAATGAGAAATCCTCCCCCAGGGGGGTGGCCATGTCACAATCTATTCTCCTCTTGGGATTTTGGGCACATATGCACACACGCCAGGTGAGCTTGAAGCCGACGTGTCCAGGACTCAAACTGCGGTCTGCCCTGTGGGAGTCCAGTGAGGTAATCATTACACCATCTGCTGGTCCCAGGGACAATTTTTAAAAGACTAAGAAAAGAATACCAGTATTAAAGGGGCTAGGACGATGGGACAGTAGTGAAATGCACTGCTCTGTGAGGCTGATCCACATGGGAAGGTTTCAAGTTCAAGCGTGGAGACCTCCCTGAGTAGTCCAGCACAGGCATGCCTGTAATATGGAACTAGCTGAAACTGGGAGTGAACTGCAGCAGCAGGACACTGTTAGGACACTGTCTCTCTCTTTCTCTTCAGAGAGAGAAAGAAAAACTTTTTTTTTTTTTTTTTTGGAGAGGTTTTTGCTATAGGCCGCGGGCACTCGCCAGACCGACAGAGAGACAGAAAGCAAGAAATCACCCCCCAGGGGGATGGCCACGCCGCAATCCCTTCTCCTCCGTTCTCCTCTCAGGATCTTGGGCACGCACACACACACGCCCAGCGTGAGTTTTAAGCCACTGGGTCCGGGACGCGAACCGCGGTGGACTACGTGA